AGCATTCCCAAGGTATTAATTTTTCCATGAATTACTTCCCAACAAAAAGCTCTTATTTTAGGGGGGATGGGTTTGCACCAGAACTCTTTAAGGGGAGAAAAGGAGAGGGTGAAAAACTACATAGAGACTTGAAGAAGGAAGCACATGAAAACAAACCCTTAGGGTGAGGGGCTTAGATACGCTTGTCTAACTTATGAGGATCAAACACACACACATACGCACATTGAAGTATTTGAAGCAACTCCAGAACAGCCCTCATTTCATCATCCCTTAACCCTCTACGGAAGCCAAAGTCCCAATTATGGTCTACTAGGAGAATGGGTGGATCATGTACACCTCCTCCTCCAAATTACCATTCAAGAAAGTATTTCTGATGTCCAATTAATTAAGTTCCCAATCTAGATACTGAAGCAATGTTTTTGCATAGTGAACTCCATACACTTGTGTAAAACACTTAGCTACTAGACGAGCCTTGTATCTTTACACCGTGTTATCTACCTTGTGTTTCAAAAAAAGCACCCATTTGCACCCCACAGGTTCATTTCCTTCAAGAAGGTCTACCAACTCCCACTTGCCACTCTTATGTAAGGCATTAATCTCTTCCTTCATTGCATCCGCCCATTCAGAAACTAATGGGGACTTTGCAACACTTTGAGGAATAGGGACACTATCAATGACTTAAAGGAAAGAATGAAATGAGGGTGAAATGTTCTCATAAGATAAAAACTAAGCCATAGGGTGGTGTGTGGTGCATGATCTGACTGTTGTGGAAGGGTTAGAAATCAGGATTGGCATGGCTGAACCAGGTTTGGTGGCTGGCCAATTTTTTTAAATTTTCTAACCCAACCCAGGAACCGATTTCCCGGTGATTTTGAAATTTGAAATTTCAGGATTGATCTTGCACTGAACTGGACCAAATTTGAAACTCAAATTAAAACTGATCATACTTGATATGGAGACCACAATGTGCAGCTCCCAGAGTGGTAGTTCATGCCCAATATCAGTCCCAAAATCAGCCTCCAACTAAAGATCGCATAGTGTGTGTGTGAATCCGATTCAGCAACACTGTTTTAGCAAAAACTGGTCTCCAACTTACTTGAATTGAAGTGGGTATGTGAACCTAATTTGCTCTGATGTTTTTCTTGCAAAAACAAAGTAGAAGACTGATAGAAATCGACCCCTATCAAAGCTAGGTTGAATTAGGGTTTCTGGGAGGCAAGGGAGAAGAGAAGAGAACAAGAGAGTGGAGAGAATTAGCTGAATTGGACTCTCTCATCTTTCTCCTTTATATAGAGCACTCTCCTAATCTAATTGGGAGTTGATCGAAATCAAATTTGGATAAGGAGTTAATCTTTAATTGATAGGCATTATCTTCTTAAGATGATAGGTGCTCCACACCCAGATCCATGCCCATTTTCAACCCAAGTCAAGTTGTCATGTGATCACTTAACTAATCATATTAGTAATGGGCCTTAGGCCCATTTTCTCAAATGGTTTACGTCCCAAGGTGTTTCATGGCCACTTTGGGCCTGAATATTGTATGGAGTGGGACCCACAAAGGTCTCACACAAGTCCATAAGGGTTCAACCCCACCTCTGGTAGAGGTTAGGCCGAATTCACTGCTTAGGGGCAGTGAACCCCTGACCCAATCAGCTTGGGCTTAGTTTTGGCCTAACATTTACACATAAATGATCATTGGATTCATCCACCCTGTGAAGACCCAAGGATAATGGTCTCTTACACCTAACTTGTTGGCCTATAGTCATCAGAACACTGCCCACAGGGAGGGACCTCTTCCTTGACTACAAAATGCAGTGTCACACTCTCTGCTCATACGGATCCCGGGATTAAAACCTTTTGCAAACCTTTTTAAATAAAATAATAATATAGCATATAAATACATTATGCAAATCAGATTTCAAATATAGTTGAAATCCATTATTGATAGTTTAGGTTTCCATCAGAGAGAGTGTAAACCCTGATATACACTTAGTCTAGCAAATGGGCCAATCTCATTACTATGATCACCCACTTAGGTAACATCCCAAACTATCCCAACATGCCTAGATATTTGACCCTTGATGGATTTGGATTTCACTGGTTACACAGTTTTAGGTTGCTCCATGTTTGTCCTGTAGCTACAGTAGTTCGAACAAGAAGAAGAAGAAGAAGAAGAAGAAGAAGAAGAAGAAGAAGAAGAAGAAGAAGAAGAAGAGAATAGTTGAACCTGATAGACTAAACCCTATCAGTCAACCCTTACTATGGATTAGCCTCTAATTAGTAATACAAAGACTAAACTGCCCCCACTTAAGTATGGGACATGAAGTCTCTATTAAAACTAC